GCGGCAGGCCGCTGCGCGGCGGCGTGCCCGGAAGGGGCGGAGTCCCCGGGAGCGGCGAGTACGGTGGGCCAGCTCAAAAGGGCTGGCCGCCGGCGGAGAAGGAGGCAGGCTCCCGGCAGGAGCACAGGAGCCGAGCCGGAGGCAGGACGGAGCCCGGGCGGCATACCCCGCGGCTGCCGGCCCGGCGCTGGTCCCGAGGCCTTCGGGACAGCCACTGCCCTTGGCGGTCGCTCAGCCCCTCGGCCGAAGGGGGGCGGACCCCACCTCGTCGCACCCAACGGGAGCGGGACGTCCGGAGGCGGAACGGCACCCCAGAGCGCTCCCCAGAGGCCTCATCCGGGAGCGAGACACCACAGGACACCGAACCAGGGTAGGTTCAAAGGCGGCGGGCACGATTGGCGAGAGCCGCCCGGAGGGAGGAAGGAGCCCGGGGCAGGGCGCTTTTGGCGACCTTGGGTGGATGAGTTGCGGAGGGATTAACTCCCTCGTCCACCGCGTCGGGGCATTAGCAAGTCCCGCCGCTTAGGGCCCCGGGCTGGGACCCGGAGAGAGGGTGGGACCGGGTCCCCCTCCCTCCACGAAGGGAACGGCCCACTACCCACGGCCTTAACGGAGGGACGATACAAGCCGCAACCCCGCGAGGGGAAACTCTGAACCGGGGGCCTGCTGCCCCGGCCCGCAGAGACGGGTAACTATTGACGGGTTCGCTGACCCCCCCCTTCCTCCTGGGAGGGGGTGATCGCACCCATTGTCGGGGGTTCGCCATCGGGGCCCCGGGGGCCGAATAGGCACTAAGAGGGGGCACTAGGGTTCGCTGACCCCCCCTCTCAGACCAAGAGGGGGTGATCGCACCCCACAGGGACACTATCCAAAGAACAACATTTGTAAGTTTCACAGCAGTGATCCAAATACAAATGCCAGCAGCACAACACTCATTCCTACTCTTTCCTCCCACCCTATCTTTTTTAAGTGGCGTACCAAGCTATGTTTCCATGATGATCTAACGATCCTTCAATGACTTGAATGCCCAGCCGTTAGTTATTCTTAAATCACTGTGCCTGCCTCTTTTTATAACAAACTCCCTGCCCCAAAGGCAAAGCTGCACGCAGCTCAAACTCTGTTACATTTAAGAACTGTCTCTGGAGCCAGGGCATGTAGCTTTAAGCAGACCTCAAGTATGAAATCCAGGGGTTCCAATTTTTTGGGGGGTGGGGGGGGTTACTGCCCCCTACCGCTCCATACATAGCACCCTTACTTTTGTACTATGAAAAAGAATCCAGGAAACTGGGTTTTAATTTTGTTATACGTTTGCTTTCACAAAATTTAATTGTGGGGCAAAGTTGACTTGACTGTGTAACTAAACTGATTTAGATACTGTAATGAACATAGCTGATTTCAACTGCAGCCCTCAAGAAAAATAAAGGCTGCTTTTAATTTGTATGTGATTCTATCTTAGGAAAGGTTGTCATGTCTCTGCATACTTAATGAATATGCATAACACTGACAATGCTTTAGGGATCATGTGACATTTTTAGTTACAATGTGCAAAATGTGTATATTCTATTACTGTGCATGTATCATTCTTGTATATGAAGTTAGAAATATTAAGTGGAAATCTGATGTATTAATATAGGTTTTCTAATAGAAGCCATTAGTGATACTTAATGATCTGTAAATGTCTTTGCTTTTCCTGTAAGCCCAAATTGTGGTGGGTCCTACAAAGACATGTAATCATGCCACTTGCTGCTGGAAACCATCTTGAATCTAGTATTTTTTCAAAGGATTGGAGGGATAAAACAAAGGATTCCCACCCTGAGGAAAGTCTATTTAAGGAATGAAAAGGAATCAGTCTTTTGTCTTCAGGTGACCTTTGAAACACCATCCCACAGAATACAGAAATGGCTATTAGACTCAAGACTGAGAAAAATCAGCTCTGGGTTGTGAAGAATTGCATCTCAGATAACGAGTGGGGTGAGGATTATGATCTGTAGCAATTTCTCTTAATGTATTAGGATTAGCTAGCATGTGTTGTTTATTTTGGCTTAGTAACTTTGATTCATCTGTTTACACTTGCAATCACGCAAATCCTACTTTTCATATTTAATATAATGCTTTTGTTTATTATCAAATCCAGTGTAAATCAAATCCAGTGTAAATAATTATGGGGGAGGGGAGGGCAACAGCTTTGCATCTCTCTCATTCATTGATAAAGAGAGCAAACTTATGCACTTTCTTTGTGTAAAACTTTTTATGTGGCGTAAGATGGATTTGTGTGTGTTTTGGTCCACATCGAGACTGTATCTGGATGCTGACCAGTTCCTCTAGCTGAGTTGGTTCAGCATCTGTGTTGCTCTGTTATCGAGAGGGGGGCTGTTGGCTGTGGGAGATCAGAACTTCTGGCCTAGCAGAACACGGAGGTGGAGTGCTCCAGAGGGCAGTTTGGCAGGCTAAGTGATATTTCAGCATACTGGGTGACAGTTCAAAGGGGGTCTCTGTTACTGAACCTATCACACACTGCATTTGTGAACACCCAAAACAGATCTGTAATTACCTGGGAAGGACTGTGGGGAGATTTCTTGCACTTTTGGTGTTTTGGATTCAGCAGGCCACATTTGTGTTTCATTCATAACTAAAAGGCAGAAGTTAGACAGTAAATACCAGAATCATATCTGCTTTGCCTCTGTGACCATACATTTTTAACCCTGCTGTAGTTTGCCAGAACAATACAAAGTGAACACATACATGAAGTCAGATACTTTAGGGAATGACTGAACTTGCCTTTACCACACACACATGTGACTAGCTCTGTGAAACATGCATTATTTTTAAGATGCTTTTTCTTACTATCTGGTGTTCAAAGCTTTGCAAGACTGGATACCTACTTACCCATGTGACTAAACAAATATTCAAAACAATAGAAAAAAAGAGGCTTTGCTTAAAGGCATATTCTCACATTAAAATACATTTCTACTCATAATGGTCAGAGATCATATGAACCTAATAAAATAATTCTACTTACTCAATTTTTTCTTTGGTGTTTCAAACATGCCCAGTGTTTTAGGGAACTTCGGTGGTGTTTCATTCAGACCTGGAACGATAAGATGCACTACACGAAAAGGTAAGTGAGCTATCATTCAATACAAAGTGAGCTATAACCTGCCCTCAGAGATGTCCATGCAATACTCTGAGTCAATGAAAATTAAGCATGACTCATTTTACCCAGAGGGAAAAAAATCTCCGTTTTGTAAATGTCTAATAATTAATACCATTTGCTGCTACTCCTTCACCCCAGTCTCTGCATTGCCACTGTCCTAGTTTCATTGGCTACAGAAACCAATTACATGCTAGAGTGTATGGACGTAGTATATTCAGCACCACAATATGTGTATTCTAACTGAACGTATCTTGATTGGATGGCAGTCTTGTGGCTAATGAGGAATAAAGTTAATAATGCTCATCAATTGTAAGCTAGGCTAAACAAATTTCATGCCACGTAAGGTTTCCCCACACACCCTGGGTCTAATCCATTCCTGTGTTCAGTGGTGTTACACTGGGGACAAACTTGTCTCCAGATATTTTAAGCAGAAAGATTTCCAATTTTTTCAGACAATAGTATGTGTTTACTCTAGTAAGTTGATATCATCTTACCACTAGGGATGTAAATGATTAGTCAGCTAGTCGCTTCCCCCACCCTTGCTGCCTCTGCACCTATCAGAGACAGCAAGGGGGGAGCAGGAGCTGGTGTTGGGGGGAGCCAGCTTAAAAGATGATTTCCCCCAGCACTGTCTCCATGGGGGGCAGGGAAATAGCGGAGACCAGGCGTGAGCTAGGAATCAGCTGATTCCCAGCTCGAGCCCAGTCCCAGACGCGCCTCTCTTTTTTAAATGTATTAAGAGTCGATGAGCTCTTAATATATTTAAAAGGCTAAAGACCAGCAGAGGGGACTCAGCATGAGCCAGGACAGATGATTCCCCGCTCCTGCTGCATTCCTCCTGCTGTGCTTTAACCTTTTTAATGTATTAAGAGCCATCAGGCCAGACAATTGATTGGAATGAAGGAAGCTGTGATGCACTGGGGCTCAGTACAGCTCTCAGTAACCCAGCAGAGTGGGGGATCATCATTCACAAAAGCCTTAAGTATCAGTACAGGTATTTTCACCAGTGGCTAGAAACCCTGATCTAATGCACACCTGGAGGGGACTCTGCATATATTCTCTTAACAGATAAGTAAAGAATGTCTTAGTTACCTAGTATTGCTCCTGCCAAGGATGGCCTGTCTGTGGCTTTAGGCAGTATCCGATGTGTGATGTTTTGAATTACTGTGGAAATAGCAACAGTCCCTTAATCAGAGAAATTTTCAAATTTTAAGTCAGGAAACAAAAACATACACAAGAGGACTCTGAACATTCTGAATGCCTCTTTATTCTGATTCATAACTCTGACTTATCAGTTTCATATTTTCTTACATTATCTCAAACCTCTCTAAGGGAAGGTTTCCAAAAGACTCCAGCAAAGAAGAAAGGCTCTGGCCAGGGGAGCCGACAGGATTGGGGGTGGGGGGGTCTCTGGCCAGTGTGGGTGGGGGCCCAGCTTCACAGGCCCAGAAGGGGCAGGGCCTTTTGTGGAAGGGGCAAGGCTGAGGCAGCCAGCCCCCAGCACCACTTAGACAACACAACACAACACAACACACACACACACACACACACACACACACACACACACACCGGCTCTCAGAGCTGGCCGGAGTACAGAGCAATGTTCTGCTGGGTGCCTCATGCCTCTCACTGTGATGTGTGGCTATGTGCATTGTGCCTATGGTCTAAATGCTACCATATGTTTAGATATAGCCTGTGCAACAATGCTTCCTGGAACATGATTGCTTAAATATCACATAAGAACATGTTACTGAGCTTCAACTAGGGCAGTGCAATTCCACTTCATCCCAAACTCAAACTCTTATGGGCACAATTGAACCTAGAGCAAGGACTTCATGTAATAACTAAAATCAAGAGCTAAATTTTGAGCACATGGCATGCATATGTCCTCCAATGATCTGAATGCAGGAATGGGAGCCAAAAACAACTATGCTCTAAACTTGGTTCTCATACTGACTCACATCTGTGACCTTAGGCTTAAAATTGCACCCATCTGTAAAATGGGGACAATAATATTAATTTATCTCTTTACATGACTTTATGAGGATTCATCAGATGCCCAAACTAGCAACTCAAAACTTCCACTGAGCTTAAATGTGCTAGGAATGCAAAATGAGGCTCTGTTTATGAAGTGTTCTGAAAACGAAAAGGGCCAAGTGACCTATGGCTGGTTTGTCAAAATAAATCTGAGATTTTTACTTAGTCCATGTGTTACCCTCTTTATATATTGGTGTGTTTAACATTTCTCTGAGTAGGGGAGCTCCTGGCTTAAATGTAAAGGCAGTCATTTTCAGAACATATTAAATAAGCTCCTGTATTTCTGTTTCTATGGAAATTTGCGTTTTAAAATTCCCAAGAGCTGGTCCCTTAAAGATGCATTTCACATGCTTCAAATCCCAAAGTATGGTGAGCATGTTGGTTTAAGTCTATTCACACATGCTACTAATTAATAAAATAAATCACATCCACTCCACAGTCTACTCTATTTTATGGACATATGGGATTTTTATTTCTCTGAAATAAACGGGAGATATTATTTAAACATCTGGAAAACAAGTGCAAGAAGCCATCTCTGAAAACAACTTCTTCTCCAGGAATATATATTAGAAATATAAACTATTTGGAAAAAGTCATATGGAACATATTACTTTTTCTAAATCCTTCCCAATTTAGAAACCATACAGGTAAAGTTAAATATTTTAGTACTCACAGAAAACTAATTTAAACAAGGAATATTTCATGTTTGTCATAAGCACACCATATAAGGGGTTTACTAATCTATAAAACCCCTGATACCAAAGACTTCTAAGAGGACTGAAGACAAAGTGATGGAGACTCATTATACTACAATATTTCAAAATCCATGCAGGTGACACCACTAAAAAGATAGCACCATACTTTCTATTCAAATTCTCCATCTTAAAATTTCTTACAAGTCATCTCCAGGTGCAAGAACTTCCAGTACATCAAAGTAGATAAGATGTTTGTCACAGAAAGCCTAATATAAAATTGTATATGCCACTGTTTCAAAGCTGCACAAACTGACTATGCAATAATTATGTTTTGTAAAAATATAGCCAAGGAGTGGAAGAGGGGACTCTCTTTCTCATTTTTCTATAAATGCAGTTGTGCAGCCATAGCATTTTCTTGGTAAATATATTTCCAGAGGCCAATATATTGTCTCTTCCACTTAGACCATAGATGGCTGTTTATCAGTTTCTGCTGAGACTTTTCATTGAAGTCCTGATGGAAGACAGCGCTACCCATACAAAGACAAGCTTTTATCTGCTACTTTCATGTCTCTCCTAAAAGCCTTCCCTCCATCTTCGTTGCAGTCTAAAGCACACTGAAAACATCTGCATTTTTAAAAAGTTCCAAAACATTCCCTGTTCTTGAGCTGGATGTTAAAAATATTTGTTGAGTTGCCCCAACTCATTCTAAAATTTAGTCATCTAACACTACTAACTGAGAACTCTGCCCCCTTCCGCCTGGGTACACTCCTCTCCCTCCACACGGAAGGGCTAATAACTGGGTTTAGTGAATTGTTTGTTCAAGAAATATTATAAAAACTGTCATCACTGTACTTGCACTTCTAGGTGAATAATAAGATTCATATTAATAAGCTTCATAAGTCGTCAAGTTTCTTCATAACATAGAAACTTAATACAACATTGACTCAGATTTGGCTATTTCTTCTATGGCTCTATATCTGTTAACACTGTCCTTTGGCCTCTATGTCTCAAGCAGTGTAGAGGTCAGAGAATGTAGCTAAGTGCATATGACACACTGATTGTAGATTTTATTACAGTGCTATGCAAGAACACAGAATACATGAGGTATGTAAATTTTTCTGTGACCATCACTCACAACTCATCAAAGGCCTGGAGGCTGTACCTAAATTGCAGATTGTAGCCTATCGTCTGTGGCGACTATAGGCTCTAGCATGAAATGCTCATCTTTAACTAACTAAAGCTATTTAAATGAAAATAGGATATTGATTTCTGGGTACCTGCTGTCTCCAACGACTAGACATCTACATTCAGTATGAAGAAGGCTATAGACAACATTTTAGAACACCATTGTCTGCGGCTGGATTCATGAAGGGCATGTTATGAGTACACTATATACACAGAGGCAAAAAGTAGTCAGATTGGCATGGATGCCAGGAAGGAGAGGGCTTTGCAGTTTGAGTACAGCACACAGATTTTATCCAGCTCAACAAATTCTTCACTGTAAGATGTAAAATAATGATTAGAAACTAGGGCTGTCAAGCGATTAAAAAATGTAATAGTGATTAATCGCGTGCGCCTCCCTTTTGAAATGCTGCCACGGCTGAATCCCCAGCTAGAGTCCCCAGCTGTGCCCGGGCTTCATGCAGCGCTGCCCCTTTGAAGTGCCGCAGTAGCGCATCAAAGGGGCAGCGCAAGACTGAGCCCAAGATCAGCTGGAGTGCCCAGCTGATCCCAGGATCCGTGTTGCACTGCCCTTTGGAAACGCTGTCCCGGCGTCTCAAAGCGGCAACACATTAGAAGCCCGGGGTCAGCTGGAGTCCCCAGCTGACCCTGGGCTCCACAGCTGTCCCTTTAAAATGCCGTCTCTGGCATTTCAAAGGGGTAGCTGCAGTGAAGACTGAGGTCAACTGGGGACTGCCCAGCTGATCCTAAGCTCTACGCAGCAGCAGAACCCGGGGTCAACTGGGAGCTCCCAAGCTTTATACTGGGCTTCCCACGGCAGCAGAACCCGGGGTCAGCTGGGGAGTTACCAGCTGATCCCGGGTTCTGGGGAAAAGTTGCGCGGAACCTAGGATCAGCTGGGGAGTCCCAAGCTGACCTCAGGCTCCACTGCCCTTTCGATCCTCTGCTCAGTAGTGAGTGGCTACTCCTTTGAAATGCCACCTCGCGCATTTCAAAGGGGCAGTGGAGCCCAGGGTCATCTAGGGGACTCCCCAGGTGATCCCAGGCTCTGCATTGTGCTGCCCCTTTGAAGTGCCGCAGCAGCACTTCAGAGCGGCAGTGCAGCATTAACACCTGTGATTAATGCACTAAAAAATTTAACATGTTAATCCCGGACTGCGTTAATCACAGGCATTAACGCATGTCTATTGACAGCCCTATTAGAAACATAAAGCTTTAGCAACATCTAATTTTCAAAATACGCAGAAGATGCCTGCATAAAGGAAGAAAAGAGAGCAACAAATGGAGAAAACCCAAGATTCGGTGTTGCCGGATGGACTACAATTTGAAGTTTATGAAGAACTGATCAGTGCATGATTCTACACTGTAAATATTTCACTATGTAGTACATTTTTAATTCATGTCACACATGGTTTCTTTTCATACCTGGCTACTAGGTGGTATAAGGCAGAGAGAATGGAAAACCCAGATACCCTTATCAATATGGTCCAAATGTAACCTTAAGGATGGATACTAGCAAAAACTAGAATTGGTGGTAAGCTGCTGATTCAATGAAGTAGTTGTGTATGATGTAACAAAATAGCACCATTTAAAAATGAAGAGAGCATAATTTAATTTCTCTTGTAATAAAAATTCACAATTTTCCAAATTTCCATTGATTTTGATGAGAAGGAAAATTTCACTGGACTTTGCATATTAATCATAACAAGTGTGTTCTGTTTTCATTCATTTTGTACTTTTTCATGAAATATCTATGCTCAAAGGCAAAAGAAACAAGCATTAAACATGAAAAACACACAAGTTACCTTGTTTGATTCTTGTAATAGGGACGCGTTTTGTACCATCTCCTGGTATGAACTATAAACAGAAAAAATAATGTAAGTATTAGGAGCTGTGCCATAATAGTAATTGCATTTTTCTTCGTGATCAAAATATAAGGCTTCAATCCAGGGTCCTACTTGTCCCAACTTAACAGTGGACCTGGCTCCAGCCCCAATCACTGAAGGTTACACTATATTTTTATTGGCAATAACTGTTATAAAGCATTTTGATCCTTTTCATTTGGCTACAACTAGTTGTTTTGCTGTATAAATACAGAATATCTTACTGTTAAGATCCTCTAACCTCTGTTCTCTTTGAGCTGAATCTCTCCAGCTTGTTCTGTGGACTACTGAAAAACTAGAGAAACCGGGACAATGAAACAATGCAAAGTCATTACAAATAAAACCTACAAAACAACAATAATCATCCAGTTGTGTGTTTTGTTACTAACTCTCAACTCAGACCAAGGTTATTGAAATATTTAACAAATCACTCTAATAAACCAAGACTATTTGATGGTTTTTAAAACCAAATCAAATGTTCATTTCTCATCTAATGTAAAATATGGAGGTAACAGGCATTTTATGAGAGTTAGCATTTGTGGTCTTTACTAAAGGCATCACCTTAATTTGGACAACAGATTTATCTTGATGATAGGCCAGTCACAAGAGGACTACAAATTGAAAGGAATCTATAGTCTTTTTATATCTGTATTGCAAACATTAACATTTTTGCCCTACCCTTGTCTTTGATTGAGAAAGTTTTCCTCCACATACTAATCTGTTACTGATATTTTGAGGACCATGAAAATAAACATCTTCACACATGAACTGGCCCTGCATTTCTCAAAGTAGAGAAAATAGCAGTTCTCCATGATTTAAGTAAGCCCTGAGCATCCTTCAGCTCATGCTGGTACTGGAGCCAACATTTCAATAGTACAATGACTGGAAAGGAATCAGGTACAAGTACTGCCAGCAATAGAGAAATACTAACTGTAACTATAAAATATAATCCTCTTTCAGTTAAGTCTGAGCAGTTTATTCTATATTTCATAACTAGCAGATTTACCCAGTGTTGCTCAGGTCCTTAACTCAATTAAGAGTTTTGGGCTTTTTGGAAAATATAAGGAAAATGTACAATATTTTATTTAAATTATAGTATTTTTCAATAGTGTTATTTTTATTGTTATTTTTTATGTCCGATATCTTTTAAAGAGGGATGATTAAAATTTGTGCCTAATTTTTTAGTACATTTAAAAATAGGAATTCTATCAAGTGTATTTTTCCTCATCCCTATAAACTTTTATCATTTGCTATGTTTTAACAAAAAAGGGCTGTAGTCAATCTGGGTTTCAATAACACTCGTTTCTAGTTTTCAAACCATAAGCACTGATTTAGCTTTTCCAAAACAAAATACTACTCCAAATTTATCAGCGTTCTGTTTTCTGAAAGGCTTATTGAGAAGCAAGCCTATTCCATGTTCATCCTATTTTCCTGGCTCATCTTGGTTGTCTCTTCAACATTTGAGGACTGTACTTGATTTGGTGATTCTTTTTCCTTTTTGATTTTATGGAACACAATCCCATTCCGGGCATATCCCATTTTCCTGGTACAACCAAACCCTTATGGTGCTTTAAAAGTTATGATAAAATATGGTATGGATACCGAATGTGATTGTCCTAGCTCTTCCCGTTTAGGAGGAGTTCTTGATCAAACAGACAATTTCCTCAAATATATAATATATATCACTCATCTAATCTATTTCATACAAAAGTACATTTATGGTAACAAATAAAATATTATGCAGGTTTTTAAAAAAAACGACATGGTTTTATCTGGTCAAATTTTCATGAGATCACATGAGATCTCATTATGTACCACATTTTTCTACTCTAGGTTTTTGCTCAGCCTTCGCTACCAATTTCAGGCCATCAAATGTTATTCTAAAATAAACAGCACTTCACTGTATAGAAAAACCTAATTCAAGTGGATTGCACAATTTTATCTGCTGATTCTAATTACAGAAAAATGATGTATGTTCTTTTTTTTTTTAAGCAAAACTTAAAAAAAACAATAGAATAGCCTGATATTGTTCAGTACAAGCATCCTTCAGCACATGATCTAGCTCTGCATTTCTCAGAATGGAGAAAACAGCAGTTGTCCATGAAATAAGTTAAGTCCTGACCATCCTTTGGCTCATGTAGGTACTAGAGCCAACATTTCAATAGTACAATGACTGGAAAGAAACCAAGCAAAAGTACTGCCAACAGTACAGAAATATCAAGAAACAATATATTTAAAAAAAGACTATTCCTAATGGTAGTAGTAAATCTGTATATTTTTGTGGACTTTGGATCAGACTCACCGAGAATTTATGCATTTTTGCCTATTTACATTAATGGAGACGTCAGTATGTGGATAAATCCATCTGGGACAAGGTTGCAACAAGACAATGTGGCTGCAACTTCACTTATATAGCAGAGGAGAATCCCAGGAAATGCATTGGAAAGGGACTCTGACCAGAGCTGCACAGAATGCAGATTCAGAATGTTACCTGATTGTATTGATCCCCCCTTCTGTAACACAAGCTCAGTTGGTACCATGAGAAATATGATTTATACCTCCCCTGTACTAGGTTTTCTAAATCAGGCCCATAGTTGGGATGAAAACCTGCCTAATCAATTCAATGTAAAAGTACTTCCATAATTTCTACAAAAAAGTCCCGAGCCTTTCCTTTGTCTGCAACAAATTCTCTTTGTACTTTGGCCATACAGAGCTCTCATTGTCCATTAAAAAAAGCAAAAGATCAAATCAGATTATATGCCCAGCAGAAAACAATGATCAAATATAATTGCTAAAAGTAATATTAACCTTTATTGTAAATACTGATGGGGGTTCCAAAGAGTACAGAGAGAGGCTGTTCTCAGGAATGACAGATGGCAGAACAAGGATCAATGGCCTCAAGTTGCAGTGGGGGAGGCCTAGATTGGATATTAGGAAAAAACTATTTCACTAGGACGGTGGTAATGCACTGGAATGGGTTACCTAGGGAGGTGGTGGAATCTCCATCCCTAAAGGTTTTTAAGTCCCAGTTTGACAAAGCCCTGGGTGGGATGATTTAGATGGGGTTGGTCCTGCTTTGGACAGGGGGTTGGACTTGATTACCTTCCGAGGTGTTTTCCAGCTCTATGATTATATACTGACTTCCTATTTATAGTCTCAATATCAACATACTTTGGCTGTGTATATAAATATACTAAAATACATGTCTTCAAGCATGATGTTGAAAAGATGAACGAGAACATCAGAGATCACAGATCTGGAGCAATATAGAGGGCCATTAATTCAAGGAAAACTTATAACCACAGGCATGCAGAGAAGATGAAAAAAGATCCAAACTATAATGTGTAAGAGATTTCCAAGTCAAGTGAAGTGTTGGTGCATGAAATTAGATTCCCCCTGGAAAAGAATTTGAGTGATGTGCCCATTATATTGGCAAGTCAAGCCATAGGATTAAAATGCACATTACGTAAGTCTTAATATGGAGAAGATTAAGACGATGTGAACATTAGAAAGATGCATTGCAAGGCTTTAAAACAAGCGGTTCTATGGTATTCTATCCTGTCACTATTACCACTCAGTGTATTTGTATCTTTGCTCTGGGAGAAAGCCAAGATATTTTGGCTTTGTCACCAATGCACTCAGATCTCCATCTCTGTTTTTAAATGTAGATGGTGCCCTATTGAATGGGCAGTCATGGTTACCAGTGGAGGTAACTTCACCAGGTTATATCAGTAATGGAAGCAGGCTGTGATCTGGGATGAAATCTTCCTAGCAGACAAAGCACAGCCTTTCTTCCTGCCCACAACCAAAAACAAACAATTGTGTTGACTTGAGAAATGGCTTAGTCCTGTCAATGTCGAATACAAGTGCCCTTCTGAGGGCATGCAATTTGCACTCCTCTTCTGATTTATGAGTCTTTAGAAAGAAGACCAGTGAGTGTATGTCTTGGCCGAAACGAAATTATGAAACTCCCTTGAACAGGAATGCTGCGGGTGGCCACAGCTGGGCCTTGTCTTTGTAGAACACTATGTATGTGAGCTTTGAAGTTAGCACCCTGATCTCAGAGACTCTAAAAGGCAGATGTTACTGCTAGAGCCCTGAAAATCCATGAATATGGATGCCTATGGTTATCCATGGATGTGAATACCACTTTTTTTTTTGTCTGCACATGGCTCTAGATTTTTTGTGTAGCACTGACCAGGAAAGAAACTCTTCCGGAGGGGTAAAGGGAGTAGGATGCTAGAGGAAGCAAGGTTGCTACCAAAAGATCCAGGAGTGTGCCGAACCAATGCTGTCAAAGCCATGTGGGGACCTTCACCGTGTCCTGTCTGATCTTCATAAGGGGTCTGTGCATCAATGGCACTAGTGGGAAGGCATAGACCCGGGCCAGACCATGGGAGCAGAACAGTACCTGTCAGGGAGCCCCATGTCCTTTCTTCGGATAGAAGAGAAAAATGTGGTATTTCTTGTTCTGACAGGACACAATTAAGAAGTCCCCTGGGGAGTCCTCCACCTCTGGAAGATCACACTGACTACCTCCGAGCAGAGCACCCACTCATGGCAAGACAAGAAGGTCCTGCTATGGTAATCTGCTAACACATTCCTGGTCCTGGACAGATGTGCAGCTACCAGATGAACAGCATACTGCACACAAAAGTTCCAAAGGCAGAGAGCTTCTTGGCAAAGAGCCAATGACCTGGCTCCAACCTTCCTAGTGATGCAGTACAGTGTGGTGGTATTCTCCATCAGGATCAGCATTTTTCAGGTGGGGCAAGATAGCCTGGCAGGCCAGGCAAACAATTTCAGTTCCCTGATGTTGATATGGAGGGCCAGAGTTGTCTCATAGGCAGTGGTTTTGTATGCTGTGATTGCTCAGGTGGGCTCCGAGCACAGCTCCAAAGAACTGAAGACCAGGATCAGTGATGTGGCCTGGACTGTGAAGGAAATTCCCTTCAATACTGACTCGGGAGCCAA